ATTGGGGCTGGGGTTGTGGCTCAGTGGTAGAGTGCTTGCCTAGCACACTTGAGGCACTGGGCTCAAACCTCAGCACCACATAAAAATGAAACAAAGACATTATGTCCATCTACAACTAAATAAATAAATAAATAAATATTTTTAAAAAGTGATGTTTTTAAATCAAAAACTCTGTCATTATGAGATATACTCATTTTATTTGAATTCTGCATAACCTTTGGGCAGATTTTTAGATTGGAAAGCCAGGAAATAATTAAGAAATAATTAGTATCAATCTTTTAATCTGGGGCATAAAACATTTCTCTTTTCAGGAATTAAAAGACTATTTTAAAAACCATTCCAAAACGTCTGTGTCTAAAGAGTTCACAGAGGTACATGGTTTACTTGAATTTATTAGAGCAGGCAGTTCTAAATAAGTTTCATTTTAAAAGGACACAGTTTTCAATATGCATGTCTTTTTAAATCTCAGAAAGTCTAATGTTTCTCTGTCTTCTAGAAAGGAGTGCTTATATTATTGTTACAAAGCTTCTATTTTGTTCCATTGTTGCTTTTCTGCTAAGGTATCTGAGTATATGTGACATCTAGGGGTTAGATGTCTAATATGATAATGTGTGAAGTAATTTAATACTTAATGAACATTTTTTCTTAGCTTTATAAACTTTAACTTACAAAAAGAAGTGATTTTAGTTACTTAGCCTCAGGCGGATTTTCCATTTGAATAGACCTAATAGCTCTCTGAATGCCTTTTAATAGATCTTCAGGGGGCCACGAACTCTGGCCCATATATTCAAAAAGACAAACTTCCAGAGCCGTCCAAGTTTTCTGAATATTATCTATGCCTCCAGGTAATTCATTAGAAAGACAAACTTTTTGTAACTTCCTTCCTAGTTTCTCCCAAGTAAGTAAATTTGGGGACTCTTGTTCACAAAACCAAGGACAATATTCGCCTACAATCTTTAAGAATTGTAATAACTGAGTTTTCTTTATCTGTTTTCCTTTCTGATTAATTATAGTGTCTAAAATAGTCAGATACATCTCCTTATCTGTAGAAGTTGAATTTCCCATTTTAATTAATTTAACGTCTCTTTCCTTCAATATCTCCAGGTACTTTTGTGACTCTAAATTGTCACCACTTCCTTTATCTTTATAGCGCTCCCACTCAATCTAGCTAATCTAGAATGCCCCCCTCGTGGGCGCCAAATTCCACCATGCGACCAGCGCACTGGTTTCATTAAAGAGGTTCTTGGCATAAAAGTTAGCTAGTGAGCTCGAAATAAAACACACAGACTCAGTTACCTTTTTCTATGACCAGGTCCGAGACGGCTCTCCCTCTGAACTCACACCTCGAATCACCCGATAGGGTGGCAGGGATTACTCAGGGCTAGCAGGAGAGAGAGAGAGAGCACGCCAGGGAGTAGCCTTTTATTGGGGAACAAGAAATCCAGGGGAGAATTCCATCCAATGAAGGTTGAGGGGGGCAGCACTCCAAGGTCAGGGTCAGTGATTGGCCCCCGGGGTCAGTGGTCAGTGGTCAGTCACACCCCCACATGGACAGGCTCTCGCACCAGGAGAGGGTCGGGAAAGCTCCGACACAGTTTAGCCAGAGCGCCTCAGACCCAAACCGGGAATTGCCCAGTGTGAGAATAGCTCCCCACACTTATATTATTGTTACAAAGCTTCTGTTTTGTTCCATTGTTGCTTTTCCCCTAAGGTATCTGAGTATATGTGACATCTAGGGGTTAGATGTCTAATATGATAATGTGTGAAGTAATTTAATACTTAATGAACATTTTTTCTTAGCTTTATAAACTTTCACTTACAAAAAGAAGTGATTTTAGTTGCTTTGTTCCCTTACTTCAGAATTGGGCAGAGTAGCATTTCATTGTTTAAATAAACAATTGACTTTTTTTTTTTCATCATTTCTGGTTAGATTTTCATCTTAATCACATTTAATTGGCATGCTCTCTAATACCCACCAATTACTAGTGATTGTAGTAGGCTACTTAACATTCTTCATCTGCAGTGTAAAATTCTGCACACCCATTTTACAGACAAGTTGATGGAACTAAGATATTAAATGGTTTGTCTTGGTCAGCCCAGGAAAGCTAGGGTATTGCTTTAAAAACCCATCTTTCAACCATTTTATACACAGCCTTTCAGCTGTTCCATAGATAACTGTTGCAACATATAGATCATGAGGCATGGATTAAAACTTAAGTTTTATTAAGTGACAAGTGGATAAATGCTGTATTTTTCCCTTCGTATTTTAAGTCATTTACTTGATAAGAGAAGGAAAAGTTTTGAGAAGTTCTTAAATGTGAGCATTCTTTTTTTCATATCTGCACAGGTTATTCTGTTTTGGGGGTTTTGGGGGAGTTTTTTGTTGTTTATTTTGCTGCCCAAGTATTTCTAACATAGGTATTTTTAGGCTTTATGTTATAAGCTACTGAGTTGTGACCACAGTTTTTAGGTATTATGGACAAACAGTTAAAAACTAGAGTTATAAAGATAGAATCTAGTGTTCTTGGGAAGAAATTAAAGAAAAATTAATCTAGCATTACCTGTTTGAAAGACAGTGTTGTGCCAAAGTTGTCATAATCTTGGTAAAATAGAAACTCAAAAAGTATGTAACTAAATATTATACAAATTGGTGGTTAAGTAAAATATCCCTCAGTATAAGGACACAAAAACCACATTTTTTTTAAAACTGTCTTTTTTTTTTTTTTTTTAAGGCATAATTTTATTAGAATACCATCTGGTTTAAAGTTTCTTCAGTAAGTTTCCCTGAGATAGCTAAAATTGCTCACAGTAGCAATTAATCTTTCATGCTTATAAAACTAGGGACACTTGTTGGTAGATTGGGAAAGTTCTGGAGAGAAAAATATACTATAAGATCTACTTCTGCCTTTTAAAGTTATCAAACATTTTTGTAAATGCATTAGTTTGGAAAGTTTTAGTATTCGTCAGTGTATGAAAGGCTGTACTCATATCCTATTTGAAAAAAAAAATTAAAAGATCCTATTTTTTGAAATCAGGTCCCTGTTAGTACGTATAATTTCTAATTTACGAATGCATCCTTGGAAGCTTTTAGAGGACTGCTTGCATTTCCTCATATTTTGTTGGCCGTGCTGGGGATGGAACCCAGGGCCTCACACATACTAGGCCAGCACTCTGCCACTGAGTGACACCAGTCCTCCTCATACGCTTTCTCATGGTAATAGAGTTGGGTTCTAAATAATGAATTAATACAATAATTTTTAAAATAGTTTTTAAGTTTCCTGGAGTTCACTTTTAAAAATATCTACTAGATCCACTCACTGTAAAACTAATTGCTGATTGTAAAAGTGTTTGGAACTTTTATAGCTAAAAATTAGCAAACACTTTGAAAAAATGAAATACTATTAAAATATATATCTTAATTAATTAATACAAATAGAAAGATATTCAACATGTTTTTAAAATGTTTTAAAATATGTTAAAGTGTGTTTGGTTTTTCTGCTAACTTACTGCTAAGAATATGTTGAGCACCAAATTTTTAGATTAAAAACTTAAATTTTTACTGCTGTGTTATTATCATATAGAATATATGGATTATCTGTTAACTTTTCTTTGTTAGCTCACTTTCATATTGTGGAACTTTGTTATAAAGTCAAAAGTCACTTCTGCATATCTCTTTTATTCAACATGTCTATTAACTTTCATGGTAGCCTGAAATAAGCATTTTGACATTTTCTGAGTGTCTAGTAAAGCACCGTTTATATAGAGTATGGTTAATATCTTGAAGCTACTATTATAATTATGGACATGTAAGCTTAAATTCTTTGCCTGTGCAGTCTTTACCAAATACACATATATATGTTTATATAGTCCTAAGTAATTTATTTCTTTAAAATTTTCCAGAATTAAGATGGCTTTAGGTTCTCCATTAGAGTAAGATTTCTTAATTATTTTTCATGGTTACATACAGCAGTAGATTATTCCAAAGATTACAAATTTATAGAAGAGGAGGATATATAGAAAATACTAATGAGGGACTGGGGTCATGTAGAGCGCTTGCTTGCCTCGCACGTGTGAGGCAACTGGGTTTGGTCCTCAGAACCACATAAAAATAAATTTTTTTAAAAAAAGGCATTGTGTCCATTCTCAGCTAAAAATATTTTTTTTTAAAAAAAAGAAAGAAAACGCTAATGATATAAGAATCTGATTAAGGCAATAGAACCTTATTCGTTGTTGCTTGTCCTGCAACAGAATTTTCTTGATTTACTTTAAAGCCTGGATAAGTGTTAATTTACAATACTAAGTTTAAACCTGTCATTACCTTATAATATTTGAGGCATGAAGTACTTAATTTTAGATATCTTTCTATTATTACTCATAAAAATAGTTGAAATAGAAGTTTTTCTTTACCATCTAATTTAATAAATTAGTACATTCTGGCTTAAATTTTCCTTCTATAACTTGAAATGTTTTTCTGCACTACGTAAGTAAATATAATTCTTAGAAGCCATATCTGCTATATATAACATTTTTCTTAAGCAGTTTATGAATGGAATATCAGTTTTGCCAACTGTTGACTAAGTTAAATCCTTTTAATGCTGACTCTGATATAGGAGCCTTCATAATTCATCAACAGAATTATTTGTGTTCACCCAGATTTTATGACTAAAGATGATAAGCATAAATCAAAAACTGTTATGTCTATTTTAATGTAATTATCTTTTTTATTATAGGAAAGATTTCAGTATCAAACTATGTTATTATCGCAATAACTCAGGCTTTGGTCCACTTACTTTATTAACTTAGAAATCTATCAAGAACATAAATGGTCAGATATCATAAAAAATGAAACAGACGGATCATTTCTTGGGACACCCTGAGCCATTTCCTTAAATAGTCCAAGTCCATCTTTTATTTTAAGGAAAATAAGGATAAAATGACTGTCCATTTCTCTAACAGTATGTCAAAGTGGTTTGATGTGTGGAACAAAGTGAAATACTTACCAAACATTATTGTCAAGAGGGCAATTGGCATCACAAATAATCCAACGAGCAAGTCAGCCACCGCCAAGGACATTAGAAAGTAATTGGTAGCATACTGTAGCTTCTTCTCCAGTGAAACAGCCAGAATAACAAGGATGTTTCCACCAATTGTGGGGATTATCACGACTAGTATCAGAAGAGCTGCCCAGCGCAGTTTATTTCCTTGTTCTTCAACAATCTGTTTCATTTCCTCTGGTATTGATTCTGTCTGTAATCCAGACTGGTTAGAAGAGATTAAGTGATCCAATAAACTCTGCAGAACATGCTCAGGAATTCTGCTTTGTTCAGACATTCTATAAGAGAGAGCCATTCACCATTTTTCTCTGATTCAATCCATTTGGACACTAGTCAGCATGGTCAGTAGCTAAGCTGGTCAACTACTTTAAGGTGTCGTACCCATGCCAAACGATCCATGCCAAAGTTGACTCCTTCCTTTTAAAAACAAGTTGAAGTTCTGTTAAGATGAGAGTATACACACATCTGTCCATGCTTGTAATTAAGACCTCAAATTTTTAGTATTTCCTAGAGCTTAGATTTTAGAAGGCTCAGTGAAAGATACCAGTAGCCGAGAGAAAACACAGTATTAGTTTCTTTCATTTTTTTGTATTTTTGCTGCAGCTGTAGAGTTATATTTGAACTTGATTGCCAGAGAGATGCCCCTAAATATAAGATATAGATATATAAGTTGCATTATTTATTTCCAAAAAGCAGTGGAAACACTTGAACATAGCAACTAGGCCCTCCCTTCTCAATAGGCCCATTGTACTATTGTGACAATGCAGTTAGTTCCCATAAAAATTATTAAATTCCTGACTTGCCTCAAAGTTAATGATAGGGGGGAGATACATTATTTTTTCAGTGGCTTATAATAAAAAGCTAGGTGTTTCCTGACCTTGTACTTTAAAAAGAATTTTTAAAAAGTCAAAGCACTAAGTAGTTTTGAATAGAACTTTAGTCACAGTTATGTTACACGCTAGCCACCCACCTAAGAAGACCTTAAGCCTACATAAAGTCAAAATAAATGATTTATCAGCTAGAATCCTTACATGCAATTGAGTTGTCTTATTGGGTTTATCTTAGTGCTGATTTAAATGCCATTTTTTATAAGCATGTTGGAATTCCTTTCGTTAGAAGAGAAAAATATTAATAGGATCCAAAATTTTATCTTTCACAGCATGCTACTTCTAGAGGTATTTTTTAATTTAATCATTAGATTTGCCGAACTTGAACCAGTTCTTTTTGTTGTGTTTGAAGTACTAATTTTTTCCTTAACCTTCCTAGTTCCTTGAGAAGGGAGGCTAAGACCATGATTAAGATATTTGTTCATTATATTTACAAATCCCATATTAGAAATCTCCCCTTTAACATAAGTAAATTTTTCATTTTGGTCCTTAAACCACTGAATATAAATAAAAGATTATGGAAGTAGAGTTCTTAAAGATTAAGTAAAAAAAAACAACAAAATCCCTTAGATAAATCTATTTATCTGTAAATACGTACCTCTCATTTGCTTGTGACTTTCCCAAGTGTGTTGTCGTTGCATCTGTTCAGCGCTTGTTGCTGTGACTGAAATCCTCCTCCCATTGACTTATTTTGAGCCTCTAGCCCTGGAGCTTGCAGGCAGTGAAACAAGCGTGTTGCATAGCTGTAAGCATGCCAGGGAGGTTATTTCCTCTCTGATACATTCATTTTTAGAGCATGGCAACATTCATTGTAATTCATAAAGCTGCCAGTTAAGCGTGTCAACCCAGTTCATAACCCTTATTCAAGTAATATTCTGAAGAGCTCTGATAATTTGGGGGACTGTAATAAACTCTGTTCTTTTAGCTTAAGATAGTTTTATTTAGGATTAAGCCTGGGCTGTTTCCTCACTGGAGAAAAAAATCTAGACATTCTAGAGCTTTTATTTTATGGACATTCTATCCTGTTCACCATATAGTGTTTTCCATAGTTCTCATTTCTAGCAGTGAAACACGATTCTTATCCAGCTCTTATGCCTTTGCTTGGAACACATTTAATTTGCTCTGGTTGCAGCCTTATATAGAAGAGCACAGAAAGATCTGAATTCCACATGTATACATAGGTTTTAGCAGAAACTTTGTCACTGCTCTTTTTTAAATAGCCTCTGGTTTGGAGAGTTGGTTCATTGGCAGCTTTTCTCTCACAGATTTTACATTGGGGAGAGTATTATATGTAATGATACATTTTTGCTTTATTTCACAAAATTGTTGTGTAGATCTTAATAGTATGCCCTTAAGCTTTTCCAAACTGTATATTAGCATTTTTAAAAGATCATCATAGAACACTCAGATTTTTAAATTATTTAATTATTTTTAGATCAGCGATGACATTTGTGCCCTTTTGCTGCTTGAATTTTTTACTGTATAGCTTGTATTGAAAGCCATTGGAATATATTTAGTTTATTTCAGTTCTGAGAACTTCAGTTTTATTCAGTATTTTTAAATTCAGTATTTTTTAAAATTCAGTATTTTAGAAAAAAAATATTTGTTCAGAATACTAGATGAAAACAAATGAAATAATACTCATGAGCAATCAGATGGATTTTAATGTGATAGAACTTCTATTCAGGAATACAAAATATTTTTAAATACTGCTTTACTCTGAATCACAATTTGATATCTGCTTATGCAGGCAGGTAGTGGTCTGCAAAAGAAAATAACGTCAGATTGGAAATAGCAGCACCATTATATCCAATGAAAAGACCTGTATGAAAGCCTTTGTTTGTTGCTTTTTGCATTTTTTTATACCTTTATTTTATTTATTTTTATGTGGTACTGAGGATCGAACCCAGTGCCTTACACATGCGAGGCGAGTGCTCTACCGCTAAGCCACAACCCCAGCCCACTTTTTGCATTTTTAAATTGGTTTAATGACTAAGGAACATAACTAGTTAGAACAGCCACTTATTTGGTAGTCTCAAGTTATCAGAAACATAGCTGAAAGTCAGAAAGCACAATAATATGTAAGTAAGTATATATATATAGAAGAATAGATGAGTTGGCAAATAACTAAACCTGTGCTCTTTAACAACCCCATGCACTTTAAGTAGAAGATAACCTGTGAGTCCATATTCTTAAGTATTTTTATATACTCTCCATATACACACATTTTTTTCTCCCAAACCCTTTAAGGAATGTAACATTTTGCAAATAAATCTGAATGGTACAAAAGAATGTTCATTGATAAATTTGTTGACAATTCTAACAAGTATGTTTCTCTGCATATTCCAGATTAGTGTAACAAATTGAAGGGTGGACATGTACTTCGATAATAGGCTGGGGGTGTGCTCAGTGGTAGACTTGCTTCCTCGCTGCCTTCTTTTCTTATGTATCTCCTTCTCAGGCTGGGGTTGTGTCTCAGTGGCAGAGCACTCGTGTCACACCTGGGAGGCACTGGGTTCGATCCTCAGTAGCACATAAAAATAAATAAACAAAATAAAGATATTGTGTCCATGAAAACTGAAAAAATATTTTTTTTAAAAAAAATCTCCTTCTCCTGCTCTAACCACTCTAATTATGCTGCACAATGATTATCTCTTCTCCCTCTGAAACTCTTCATGCTTATTTCTGGTGTACTTGATGGTATCCCTTGAGTCTATTAGGCTCTGTTCTTTTTTTTTTTTTTTCTTTTTTTCTTTCTTTCTGTTTCTCAGACTGAATAATTTCAACCTATCTGCAAATTTACTGCCTTTTTCTTCTGTTAGTTTTGCTCTTGAACCCACTCTAGTGAATTTGTCAAGTTTATTGGACTTTAAAGTTTCAGAATTGGTTTCATCTTTTTGATACTGGGGCTTGAACCCAGGGGCACTTAACCACTGAGCCACATCCCCAGCCCTTTTTAATATTTTATTTAGAGACAGGGTCTCACTGAGTTGGTTAGGCGCTCACTAAGTTGCTGAGGGTGGCTTTGAACTTGTGATCCTCCTGCCTCAGCCTCCCCAGACACTGGTATTACAAGTGTGGTCCACAGCACCCGGCTTGATCTTTTTTTTATAATTTCTCTCTCTTTATTGGAAATTTTGTATTTGGTGTTACATTGTTCTCCCGTTTTCTTTAGTTATTTGCCCCTGCTTTCCTTCAGCTCTTTGAATATTTTTAGATAGTTGACTTAGATCCAATGCTTGGGCTTCTTCAGGAACAATTTCTGTTGATTCCTTTTTCTGCTGTGAATGGGCAGTATTTTCTTATTTCTTCACACACCTCAGAATTTTGTGTTGAAAATTGGACATTGTGAACATTATAATGTGACAACTCAGGAAAGATTCTCTCTTTTGTTATTGGTACTTATGCATTGCTGTTTAATGACTTTCCTAAAGTATTTTTATAAAACCTGTATTCTTTGTCATGTGTGGCCACTGTAGTCCGTGTTCTGTTAGCTTAGTGGTGAGCTGGTGTTTTGACAGATTCCTTAGACATCTTGATAACAAGAATCACTCACCCAGTCTTTACATATCGACCCAGAATTGGAGCAAGTCATTTGCCAGTCTGCCTTAGCCTTCCCCTGCTGCTTATGCAGAGCCTAAGGTGAAAGTTAAGCCTTTCCTGAGCATATATCTTGGCCACATATGTGGCATTCTCAATATTGCTGGTATGCCCTTGGCACCCCACACACCTCCTTTCTCAATCTCGTTTCCCAGACTGCTGTAGCCAGTACCTTTGCCTTTAAATGTTATGGCAAATGCAGCCTCCAAGGCCAGTGTGGTCTTGGGAAAGCAGAGTAAGGTGAAGCAAAGTCAAGCCATTGTGCTGAAGGCCAAACTAACCACAATTCTAGAGAATAAGGTTTGTGCTAGTCTCTCTGGCAGTAGTAACTATCCCAGTAGTGCAGGTTGTCGTCTCCAATGCCACTATCAGCCTGCTGTTGTGCAGTGGTGATTTCCTTTCATCAAAGGAATTTTTATAGCTGGAATTATAGTTGATGATCATGAAGTACCCAAATGTCTTTAGGTGTAGATTAGCTCAAAACTCTGCACTTCTTTAGCAATCAACTTTTGGAAGTGGACTTTTATCATCAGAACACTTAAATATCAGGAATGAATTGAACTTTTCTGAATAGCAAAGTATATTTGGGACCATTATTATAAAATCAAGGAAAAAGCAATAAAGTCTTTAATATAACTGAAAGAAATTGATGACTTCTTGGTTTGATTATTAGAAATGGGGAAAATGTATTAATGATGCAATAATTTTTTGAATATCATAGATTTCTCTATGTCTAGGAATGCATTGTAAGATTTATAAGAACTGGGCTGGGGATATAGCTCAGTTGGTAGAGTGCTTGCCTCGAATGCATAAAACCCTAGGTTTAATCCCCAACACTACACAAAAGATTTTTAAGAACCATATTTTTTATCATGGTGAAGTAGCAAGTCTGCTTTCTTCTCATTTTGAGACCTCTCCTCCCCGTTTTCACAGCACCTGAAAATAATTAATCTTTTTGGAAATGTACTGAAAGTTTGCCAAATACTATCCTAATTTTTGGTTTGCTGAAGTCCAGGAAGATGGAAGAATATTAAAAGATAATATGCTACATTTGTAAGGTTTATGGCACAGTGTGGTTTGCTTTTTTCTCTCCTTGTGGTATGTTACGTTTGATGTGTAGTCAGTAAATATTACATTCATAAGTAAAACCTTATAAGTAATAATAGCTTAGGATACGAATTCATATGGGACAAAACATATTTGGTAAAGAAAATTGTTTTATTTTTCAGTTCTTTTGAAAATGATTTTATGCATGTCTTGTAATAAACACACAAAAAAAAATCTCACCACCCTTTTACTTGTAATTTTATTATTTATCATTATAAACTTTATAAACTAGTCAAAGAATAAAATAGAACAAGAAAAGTTCCTGAAATTCTCAACATGTAGCTCCATTGTTGAAAATACATACATCTAGTAAATTTATAATTGGGTAAATACGCTTTTAAATTCAGTGTATCAAATGTATGTGAAATGATTTCTCAAGGACTGATTTCCTTCTTCTCCATCTATCCCTCCTTAAAATAAAATCCACTGTTTTTTCTGTCTTGACCATTTCTAGACATTTATTTTAGTTTTATTTATTTATTTTCAGTGTTGGGGATTGAACTCAGGACCTCATGAATACTAGGCAAGCACTCTTCCACCCTTCTAGGGCTACATCCCTAGCCCTAGACATTTTTTAAAAAAATATTTTTAGTTATAGATGGACACGATACCTTTATTTTATTTATTTACTTATTTAATTTGGGTGGTGGATACCAGGGATTAAACTCAAGGGGGCACTCAACCACTGAGCCACGTTCTTAACCCTATTTTGTATTTTATTTAGAACAGAGTCTCACTGAATTGCTTAGCACCTCACTTTTGCTGAGGCTAGCTTTGAACTCATGATCCTCCTGCCTCAGCCTCAAAGCTCTGGGATTACAGGCACGCATCAGCCTGACAACTTATTTATTTCGTGTGGTGCTGAGACCAAACTCCAGTGCCTCACACGTGCTAAGCAAGTGCTCTACCACTGAGCCACAACCCCAGCCCCTAGGCATTTGTTTTTATAAATATGTTCATGGAAACATAGAAATGAGCTCTTATTGTTGATCAGAGATTAGTCATTTAAATACTTTGTTAATA